AAATAAATAATCAAATATTAAAATAATTTTTAACCATACAATTACAATGCAACATAATTCAATACAACTATAATTAAAATTATAGTTACAATTACAGTTGTAACACTTCATAATAATCTCAAACCAGCCTATCTCAAAGCAGCCTTAAATCATAACCTGGCAGTGCACCGTAGATTACTCCGCTCATCAAAATCCTATCACACCCATGACACTTTTTTGTTATCTTTGAGCTCTATTGATGGCGGAGAGTCTTGACGGCAGCGAGTTCTGGCTGACTCTTCTAGTTTCTCAAATTGGAATCAGGGGCCAATAAATGTGTGTCGATTGGGAGAAGGGAGGGAAATGGGGGATTTTGGATTTGGATTTGTCCTCCGCCAGCTCATGGGCATCTCCAAATTAATTTTTCTCTCTTGTTCGGCAAAAGGCCACTTTCAAATTAGAAAATTAATCAAGAAGTAAACCTTTTCATTTATCTCCCAAAAATCAAGCTTGTCCAACAATACAAGACAAAAGGAAATTTGATTTTTGTGGCAGTAACAAAAACATTTGTGGCATTAACCGCTCCCTGAGCATATACTAGAATTATTTATCATGCTACTGCTAGCAATAAAATGGAAGGCCAAGGCTAAGCCCATCAATCCACTGGAAATGGATACCCAACCCAACAATCCACAAACGAATAGGGATTTATGGGACTGGACATTGAATAATATTTGAATATATCAATAACTTAATTAATTTAGTGATAATTTTTTTAATAAAAATAAAAAATTTAAGTTTAATTCGTACATATAACAGCACTAGAATAAATGTTTTCGCTTATAAGGATTTTTTTTTTCTTCTACCACCTTTTTTTTCTTGATTTTTCTATTTATGATTGTTCCGTCCACTTGAAGCCAAAATACAAACAGAAACACAACAAAAAATGGGCCTTCAATTAACAGTCGAGAGGCTGCTGGCTAAGTTGCCACAGTATATGGTAACAAAATGTGAAGCAGAAACAAGACTTTTCCTGTTCCCTTCAAGCCCAATTCCAGGTCCGAGGGCATTCTTTTATAAATTTGTATGGTACTTCTCAATAAAGGAATCATCCAGGGACGCTCGAGCGGTCATCTTTTGCAGCTTCCAGTGAAAACTTTCAATGACTGCTGCGGCTAGGGGTGTTCATATCCGATCCAATCCGATTGATCCGACCTAAACTGATCCAATCCGATTAAAAACTAAATCAAACCGATATAAAATTGAGTTGGTTTGGATTATAAAAATTTAAAACTGATATAATTGGTTTGGTTTGTGGTTTTACTTTCAAACTGCCCGAA